ATCCTTCAGTACTCCCCATTCTTCTGAGCTCTACATTCAGTGATTTTGGTGTGTGTCTCTAACTCACCTTGCTAGTTTTATTTATAACTTAAATGTCTATCATTACTTATTTTTTTGAGCACCAGCATAGTGTTTTCTGGGCTGTGGGGGTGTCCTTTATTTTGTCCTCCATACTTTTCTCCATATGATTTACTGAAATGTCTGTTTTCCTAAATGTATGTCTCAAAATTCTGTTATTCTCCAAACACCAACTCTCTGGTTATTTTCTCCAGTTATTTCCCAAACTTCTTCTTTGTATAGCAGTTGGTCTTTTCTCGTTGTTCTTACCATACCTTGCCTTCCATCATTCTGTTAGAGGATGAATTTTTCATTGGGAATGCCACTACATTTCTAGAGAAAAGGGAGAGTGCATAATTTAACCTCTGCACCACCACAGAGGCTTGATTCATGCTTTACAGAGAGTAGGGTTTCAACAACTAGTTAGGGAATTTGATTTGGACCAAAAAAAGTGGAAATAACTTTTTCAAGTGTTTCTGAGAGTTGCTAACAGAATACTTAAAATAAAAGATTTTTTTCAGTTGGTGTGAACTAGAAATAATTGTTCACATATGACAAATTTTATTTGGAAATTTATGACCGCTATAAACTTTCAATGAATAGATAAAAACATGATCTAAGGCAAGCCAGGGTTCTGGCTCTGTCTTTCATATACCAAAGACCTTTAGGCACTTCATGTGGACTATATATGCTGAAATATACTCTCTGTTCAGCATCATCAATATCCATCTCATGATGAACTATGACAAATTCTGAATAGAAACTCAGAATCCTCAACAATGAAATCAGTGAAGGAAATTTTTTAAAAAATGTTTGGAATTGTGAGAAACATATACAATAACTGAATTCCCACAGAAAAACGAGATAGAAAATTAGTACCTTTGAAAGGAAAAAATAAGATCAAAATATAAAAATCATTGTAAACTTTTCATTATGATCCTTTATTTAAAATATCTATCCTAACCACATGTGTGTACCATATAAAACCTCAATAAACACAAAAAATACCCAATTAAATTGCACATTTTTATACTACAAATATTGGTTAACACTGCTTTTCTGTGAGCTGAACCCAAATGAATGAACTAATGGATGGAGTCGAGGAGAAAAGCAAGTGTTGAGAGACAGTGAATCAGAGTACAATTAGATCAAGTAGAACAGCTTGAGAATGGTCAATATTCAATTTTTTTTCAAATAATTGGTACAATAATTTGCCAGCCTAGGTCATTACACAGTAGTGACTTTAATATGCATGACTTGATGGACAAAAACAATTTTAAGCAAGATTTTAGTTTTTATTATCAAAGTTTTGATAAATAAGATAAAATATAAATGCAAATGATCCATTGACTATAATTACTAATATAAAATTAATAGTTATATACCAAGTGTTTATGAAACATTTAGAAAAACAACATTTTATAGGAAAGAAATACATCAATATATGAAGCAAACTTTTCCAATCTAACTTAAATGAACTAAATCTATAACTCAATACTACAATTATAGCTGCAAGTTTCTACTTGAAAAATCAAAATGTATAAATCAGTTGCAAATATATATATATATATATATACATATACATATGTGATATATATATATATATATATATCAGTTTGTACTCATACTCAAATATAAATAAATGCCATTTTGCTACTTCTCTCTCACTTGATCCAATATGCTCATCATTCTGTTTCCCTTGATGGCAGGAAAAACATCTCTCTTGAGTAATTAGTTAATACCTATTTATACCTGTGTGCATTATTGTGTAAACACTGGATTATATTAATATTTCCTGGGCAGATTGTTAACTGGCTAGCGTCAGTACTATCTTACATCAAGGGAGGTATTCTATCTACTTGTCCCACCTGAAAGCATGTCACCCACTAGTCCCACCTGGTTTGGAGTCTTGAAAACCACATGTCACCTTCTGCTGCTGTGGTCTGTGATATCTGGTATCACCTAGATCTGTGAGATATAGTCACTTGTGCTCTCCCAGACTTCAAATGCAACTACCAGCCCTTTGTACATTTACTGAAAACCTCAGCACTTTCATACCTCCCCAGGCATCCTGTTCTCTTAGGCCTATGCTAGCTAGAGTGCCCAGGTCAGTGAGAAACAGGTCTCAGGCTCTCCTATATTGGAGCTCCACTTAAGCCACTGATAATCCTCCTGTCTTCTCTACAGCTCTTTTGCTCTGGGGCCATACTGAACTTGAAGCAGCTCATATAGGCTTGCGAACATCACTTCTTTGGTAATCAGGATGATTTCCAGGATCTGACTTGTGATTTCTATCCACCTTCCCCAATGCTCTATAAGTTTCAGTCCCTCAGAGTGGAACAGAGAATAGTCTGTACACTACAACCCAACTTTCCCCAACAAATTCTTCCAAAAATCCTCCACCCAGACTAAAAGGAGTTATAGTTGCTCCCTTAATGCTGTAGAAAATTGCAAGGTTATATACAGTATTCTGTGTATTAATTTTTCTCTGGATAAAAATCTTTACCCTGAATAATTTAACTACTGTTTTTGCTGTGTAAAAGACAGTGCTTTTTGTTCTTTCTATTACCTTTCAAATTTTGTTCTGTATCTGCTGTTTTCCTAAATCACAATGCAGTGAAGTAGAGCATTAATTTTTTTATTAGAAATTGAAGAAGGTAGTGAACATCAAAGTGAAAAGGTAATTTTGTAAGCTCTCAAAAGTATTTCTTATAAAATATTTGTGGCATTTACAAATTTATTGTTGATTGTTTTTGTTTTCTAGAATTTTTTTCCAAGACATATGGACTCTTAGAGTGAAAGATAAAGTTTTTCTTGGAAAAAATATAGACTTGATTTAAATATTTGACGAAAGAAAACTAGGCTTATATTCATTTGCTAGGTAAAATATGTACATAAAACAAATAGTACCCAACCATGACTCAATAAGAGAGAATCTATTAATTCATGATCTTACAATGCAATTCAACACAGCAATAGATTGAGCATGAAATACTTAGTTCCAACCCACAAACTTTTTGAAAAACAATGGATAATGTAAAGTATTCATTTTCTTTTCAAACACAGAAACAAATTATATGTAAACTGGGAGTACAGGAATGTTTCCCTGATGTGAAGTCAGAATCAGAGTTATGTGTCCATGGTAAATGGAAGATTTTTTTGCCTTCTTTTATTTTAGTTTGGTTTTAGAAGGTTCTATACCATTATTATTATTTAATATTTCTTAAGTTGTGGCTCGACCTTAGAAAGTTTTGGTTATGATGACAAAATAAAGAAAAGATATGTACAAAATTGATTTTAAAAAGGAACAAAGTGCTTGTAGATGTAATATGATTGTACCCTTTACAAATACAAAGAAATTATCTTTAAAAAGTATATGACTTAATATGAAGGTATATACAAAATATTTTGTTTGAGAAAATGAACCAGCACCAATAATATGGGTATTTATATGATAAAATATTAGTGAATTAGAAAAAAAATATAATGGAAATTTTAGTAGTATGAAATTCCTAGGAATTAATTCACTGAAGAATATGTGAACTAGGGAAAGACATTAACAACTTAGGTGGAGGAACCTTATCTGAAATATTCTGAAAATAGAAAAAGATACTGAGTTCTTGGAAAGGAATGTGAAATATTTTTAAAAATTCATTCTTCTCTGAATATATTCTTTAATGGAATAATGAATCCTCAATCAAAATTTCAACAAATTTTTTTCAAATAAAATTCTGAAATTGTGAAAAAAATGAAGGACAATATCAATTCTCTTTCAAAAGTAAAGCATCAATAAGTAAAAGTGAGTAAAGGATTAATAATCCTTATCACCTCTTACAATTCATTAAGAAACACTTTTCAATAGTGTAGAACTTGTGAAAAAATAAATATCTAGAAGTAATCCTTTGTATATAACTGCTATTCATATAAGGGAGAGACATTCAGAATAGGAGAATGTGTGTGTGTGTGTGTGTGTGTGTGTGTTTGCGCAGAAAAGACAGGAGAGGTTTAAACATGGATATCAGATAAGTACAAGATTAAAGTGACATTTTCAAGTAGTAGAGAAAAACTAGGTTACTTATTAAATTATATTGGAATAAAGGTAAACACAGAAACTGTTCTGTTTTGTTTTCTTCTCATGGAAGAAAAATTATTCACAAAAGATCAAGATGCCAAAAAGTAATATATTCATTAAAATAATTTGTATTAGTATTTACTAGACATAAAATGGTCATGAAAATTAATATTCCATAATCTTCCCAAATTCACTATAAGTAAGTAGTTTGGTGCTATAATCACACTTCACAATCAGTTGCAGTTCTTGCACTTTTCAATCAAATTTATAGTAATTTCCCATTTTATCACAAATGCTGAACAAGTGTCACTATTGAGAACTAAATAAAGATTTCAATAAATTGTTTCTTATTTGCATTATAAAACTGTATAAGGCATTTGCATTATTGTCTGTTTTTTATTTTCATCGATAATGATTTGGGAAAAACCTTGTGCTGCATTTTTTGGTACAATGCAGGCCTATAAAGTAGGTCTCTCAGCTGAAGAGAGTGATGTTTTGTTTGTCCCTTGGCTTTCTATGGACAATTTCTCTAAGATGCTTGTGTAAGAGATAAATATAAAGATGCTAGTTTTCTTTCTTTTTCTTTTTTTTCTCCTTCTGTAAATTACTGTTTTATTTAGTATTAAAAAGGTTCAGAAAAGAAGTGAAAATGGTTTTGTAAAATAAGCCCTCAAGAAGCAAGCAATTACAGTTATTTTTACATGGGCTAATCAGTATCCTTTTAAATGTGTAATCAAGTGGCATCTATAATTATTTGAGTCACTTGGCTCATACATACAATTGAATCTACCGAATGTATTTGCTTCCTTTCCTTTTCTACTCCTTCAGAGTTTATAACTAAGAGTTGATTTTTATTTTTCCCACTATAAAGCTTAGTTTTGGAGGAATTCCAGTACCAGGAAAACCTGGGACCTTTTTAAAGAAAAACTTCCACGGATGTATTGAAAACCTTTACTACAACGGAGTAAACATAATTGACCTGGCTAAAAGAAGAAAGCATCAGATCTATACTGTGGTAAGTTATCTCATTTATTTTTATTTTTATTTCTTGATGTTTTCTATCACTTTGGGGTAAGTCTTGCTTTCACTATCACACTCCTGTACTTCTTCATAGTGTGCCTGTGTTTATCTTGTACTTTTAAGAGGTCCCATCAGCCTCAGTCATTACTGGAGAGCAAGACTCCCAGCCTGGACTGAGTACAAATTGTGTTCCTGGAGAAAAATGTGTATCAAAGACATTTACAGAACTCTATTCTTTTGGTTGTGGTTGCTTTCAGCTGTGGGTGAGATTTGCATTCTATAAGGGCTAACATGGATTTTTTTTTAATCTCTGGTAAACCAAAGCAAAGAATATTCCATTAAATTCAAGAGCTTGGGAGTTACATAGTTGTCTAGGAATTTGTTGAACTTCAAAAGAGGGCCTTTTAAATAAATGAAATTACATTTTTTTTTTAAATTTTAGAGATGCCCTTTGTTACATGTATAATCCTGATAAGTTAAATAGTTAACATTTGTTTTTCCTAATAAGGCATGAGTTTCTTTAGGGTCAGGTATATGTCTTCTTTTATCACTAATGGATTTTTAATATATAGCAGAGTGCTTTGCATTTAGTAGGTACTCAATAAAGGTGTTGATGTTTCTAGCTATAGTTAAAGATTTTTCCGTTTATACATGCTTCCAGTGTTTTCAGTTTTTCCATGGCATATTTTATAGCCCTATTTAGTACTGCTATTTGTTCCTAGCAGATTAGCCCTTTAATCATTGTATAATGATATGCTCTTGCTCTGATGACCTTTTTGGCTCTGAAGTCTACTTTATCTGAGGTTAATGTTGCCATTTATATATTTTCCAATTAACTTTGCATGATATTTCCTTTCTAATATTTTTATTTTTAACTTAGCTATATTGTGGTACTTGAACTGAGTTTCTTATTGACAGCAAATATTTTGTTCATTTTTTTTTAATTCACTTTTCCAGTATGTTTAATAGGTATCTTTAGACCATTTACATTTAGTGTAATTAATGTGTTAGGGTTGCAATGTCCATTTTTTTTTTTTATGTTCTGTTATCTTCTTTTTCAGGCTCCTCTTCTTTTTTCTATGTGTTCCTTGAATGCTTTTTAAGAATTTCATTTTGATTTATCTAGTGGTCATATCTCTATGTACAGGTTTTGTTAGTGGTTTCTTAGTTACTATATTACATATATGCAAAGTTTGATAACTTACTGGTTTCATTTTACCAATTTAGGTGAAATATAAGACTTCTCTCCTTTTAAATTTGTTACCTTTCATGATTTTTATGTAATTGTCTTCATATTTCCTCTACACTTTGAACTGTATCGCACAGTTTTATTTTTGTTTCAATTATCAAACAAAGTTTGAAAACACAAGAGAAAAAGGAGAGTTTCTTGAGTTCAGCCATATTTTTGCTTACTATTGTTCTCTCTCTTTTTTTGTAGCCTGATTTTCTTTCTTTTGTCATTTTCTTTTGATTGAAATACTTTCTTTTAGCCATTCTTTTTGAGTGTATATGAAAGTGACAAATTATTTTATTTTTCTTCATCTGATAATGATTTTCTCTCTCCTTCCACCTTTGAATGATATTTTCTTTAGATGTAAGATTGTAGGTTGACAGTTCTTTTTATTCAGCACTTGGAAAATGCTGAATCATTTACCTCTGGCCTCAGTGATGAATTTAGTTTCATTTCTCCAATAGGTAACACGTCATTCTCTATTGTTGATTTCAAAAATTTCTGTCTTTAGTTTTTGAAAGTTTGAATGTGATATGTTGTATATTTCTTTGGGCTAACCTTGTTTGATTATTGCTCAATGTCTTGAAAGAATGAATAGACTATGTCTTGGGCTAATCTTTACACATTTACATGTGAATAATTTGGGGAGTTTTATGGGGTTTTTGCCATTATTTATTCAAGTGCTTTTATACCTGTCTCTTTCTTATCTTCTTGAACTCTGACAACATGAATACTAGATCTTTTGTTATAATCCCTCAAATCTTATTTCTTAGTCTTATTTTGTGCTTTGTTCAAATCATGTCAGTTCTTTTGTTTTAGGTAGAAGTTTAATATTCTTTTTCTTTTTTCTTTCTTTCTGTTATTGAACCTATTTATTATCTTTTAGGTTTGATAATGAATTTTCATTTCTAAAATTTTCATATGATTCTTCTTATCATTTGATATTTTGATTTCCTTGCTAAGACTTTTGATTTGTTACTAAGATTTTCTATTTTTTTTAACTCATCTCAAATGGGTAATTGGCATTGAGACATTTTTATTATAATGGCTGCTCTAGAAATGTTTGTCAGATAATTCTAACATTAATTAAATGTCATCCAAGAGGCATTTATCAATTATCTTTTTTCGTTTAGCTTGAGTTCTTTTTTGGTATAACAAAATATCGTTGTTGGTTTTTATAAGTGAACCTGCATATTTTAAGTATTATGCTGTGGTAAATCTTCTTTAAATTTTCTGTTTATCTGTCTTTTGCTCACCCTGTCCACGCAGGGGAAGGAGAGGTTTGGCCTTAATAATACTGGTTTGAAATAGAAATTAAATTCCTTACTGAGCCTCCATTGACTTCTGAGGATGGAAAAGGTACTTGTTACTACCAAGTATGTGAGAGTTACTGCTTCCTACAACAGTTTCATTGATTCTTCTCTGAGTATAGTAGCTTGCATAGTAATGCCTCATGATCATCCTCTGTGTGACCTCCAGTGACATTACTATCAGAAGAAAGGGTCCTCACTTGCTATATCATTGGACTGTGGTGAAGTCCACCAAGGCATCCTGACCCCATCTTTGTGAAGTGGATGGCCTCCCTCATTAGTGCTGAGTAGTATTGAAGTCCAGGATCCCCATGTAGTCTCCACTGACACCACAGTGAAACACTTGATCTTTTCTGACAAAGATAGACTTCTCAAATCCCCAGGATTTTTCTTCTAGATTCTAGACATTCCCAGATTCATTTCCATAATGCCACCTTGGTTAGGGTCAGAGACATTTTGTTACAGCATAGCTAGATAGCTTTGCAGCAGGAGTTTTCTCTATGTCATTTATCTTGGGTTGAAGAGTTATTTTAGTTATTTTCTAAAAATATTCTTTTTTATTTTGTTGCCTATTTCCTCATCCTTTGGCTGAAGAGGGCAGGCTCGGTATTGCTATTTTTAAAAAAATTTGTTTATGCCAGTTTGTCTGTTGGGGTTGTTGTTAGTTCTTCAGCAATGGGGCTAAGACACTAGGAAAATACAAGGAACTCTCTACCCTGTTGTGCTTTAGACCTTGAAGTTATTATATATGCTTTCTGTCCTCTCTTCATCAGTCAGCATCTTCTTAGGTTTCTTTTACACATGATTTTCAGTGTGGTTTAGTTATGTTCAGTAGCAGGACGAATATGGAGAATTATGCTGCTTCATAATCTCTAAATTGCAAGTTCTTTACAACTTTTTTTTTTAATCCATACAAGAGTAAGTCATTGTATCACTGATAGGAAAAAACCCTAACCCTCCGGCTGGAGTTGTAGCTCAGTGGTAGAGCACTAGCATGTGTGAGGCACTGGGTTGGATCCTCAGCACAACATAAAAATAAATAAATAAAAGAAAGGCATTGTGTCCATCTATAATTAAAAATATATTAAAAAACAAAGAACCAAAAAAAAAAAATCCCTAACTGCCTGAAGTCTGTCAATTGAACTATCTGGGGAAACTATATATGCAAATGAGCCTGTTTTACTTTCCCTTTTCCTGACAATTCCCCCACTTTTCCACATGAGCTTAGGTTATTTACAAAGTGCTTTTTATAATTCGGGGTTTTGCCTTGACACATTTTTCCCAATTGCCATTGTATTCCTAGATGTAAGACACATTTGCTTTAGGAAAACCACACCAAGATTAAATAAAGGTCACTATTGTTTAAAAGTTTGTCACCAAGTTTCTGACTCCTTTTGTTGGGAAAGGTTAAGACACACAATACTAACAAGGGCTCATTCCCTCCATTGGTTCCAGGAGTGACATCAACTGATATTACCTGACCTACCGGTTCTGGCTCACACAGAAGGCCCCTGACAATTCCCCCACTTTTCCACATGAGCTTAGGTTATCTCCTAATTTACCTAAGCACCATCTTGCTGATGACATTTTTCTTGAGTCTGGCTCAGAAGATTTAAGCCGTGGAAAATGCATTAATTCCCATCCTTTCCACAATACTATTTTCAAGAATTATTTCATAATATATCAGTTCCTGTATTAAGTGTAGTCTGCTAACACAAGAGCACTTACATTGGGTTCACGCCCTGCCAGAAGTTTAGCTTAGACAAATGTCATAAACATCAAAAAGCAGCTGTACTTACCATTGTGCTCTGAGTCTGTAGAGCAAATTGCAATACAATAAGCTTAAGAAAACATCACTCACTTCCATTGTTTATAAAAGGTTCTTAAAAATAAGAGAGCCTGAGCCTCAGATATGAGTAACTAAGATCCCTATGGTAACATTCATAAAAGAAATCTCCATATATATTACACTAGAAAATATCTTTAATGACAAGATATTTTGAAGACAGTCACTGAATAAAAATGAGATAATGGAGACAAAACATGAATTTCTGAATATTGGCAACTTCCATCTTCTTTTTTGAGAGAATCATTACATCATTGTAACCTTAACAAATATTTTGGTGATGTTTTAACTACCATTGCATTTAGCAAGTTCCCTGAAACTTGGCTAGTGTACTTTATTCTTCAGGGTTTAATTGGCAGTGTCGTTAATATGAGGCTCAGAGAATCCATTTAGCACTAATGCACTTGAAAAAAACTCCCAAGAATAGTGTTTTATTGTGTAGGGAGACAACCTTAGTTTTCACCTTCACAATATGAAGGGAAAAACATACACTATTTTTCTTCCAAATTGCTTTCATCACTTTGCTTAAGTGAGAATTCACACACACACACACACACACACACACACGCACGCACACACGCACACACGCTTATATACCTGGTCTGTGT